GGTTATCTGAAAAATAAGTTATCCGAACAACCCCAGTCCCCAATTGATTCAGATAAATGATGCTGTACTGTATATAGTAATTTATTAAATATAATCTAATCATTTAAGAAAAATATCAATTACAACGATAATTTGATATAAGCAATCAGCTAAAGGTACATCAAAATTAATGCTACAGATAATTATTGTAATTTCTAGCATATAACTTGTGGGTTCTAGAAATTTTTATGGGTTATAAACAGAATACTACTGTATTTGATAAGTTTAATAATATCACATATTTTCAATATTTGGTATTCTAAGTTGTAAGTTAAAAGGCTTGCACCTAAAAATACCTAATGATATTTACATATTTAGACATAAATTATTTAATATTCTATATTTGCAATAGGCTAGAGTAAAAAGTTAGAATTCATGCATATTTTTTATACATAAATCTGTATTCACAAAACTTTGATAGGACCTTACAAAAATAAAAATTATTACATAACTTATAAATAATTGCTCACAGTATAAGATAAATTACTAATGTGTAACTAAATTAATTAGTTGTATTCATGTAATAGTTATTTTTCTGGAGCAAGTAGTTTTTATAATAAAAGTACTCAAAATTTTTAAGATAAAGTTTAGCTAGTTTTCGTATCTATATTAACCGAACATATTTTGTATTATATACATATAATTAGACTTCAATTTTATCCTTTAAGAGCATAATGAATAGCAATTAGAATAAATAATAATAGAATATTGGCATATGGCATATTACAATTTATACAAACTGCTATCATACTCTAATTAATAACATTTTTCAGGAAACTAAATATTTAAAGTTTATCCAAAATGTAAATTTGCTTCTCTTCATAAATTGTCTAATGCATTTTAACATTTATGTAAATTTGTATAAATTATTTATAAATATTTATTGTATTTGTATGATGTGAAACAGTTTTTCTGTGTGACTACTGTATATGGTATTACAGTAGAGTGTCGTTTATCCGAATCAATTGGAGACTGGGGTTGTTCGGATAACTTATTTTTCAGATAAACAATTNAAAAAAATATATATTTACAAAATAAAGTAATAATTATTTACATGAAAAATCAATATTCTTTCTGAAACATTCTATGTCATTTGTCACCAAATTGTTATAAATTATTTGTGTTAAGATCAATCAAATTAAACTTAAGGTTAGGAATTATATTTGAGAGGTATAGAAGTATATATTGAAATCATAGATGAGTGGTGCAATGTTTTTAAATAATGTTCTGCTATTTCAAGTTTAAGGTAGTAATAAATACGAATACTTTAATAAATTATTGCAAAAGTAAAAAAAAAAGGAAAGAAAGAAAAAGTACTGTTTTTAATTATAAGATATAGAAATTTTTAAGTTATGTTTATTGATTTTATCATCTCATTTAAAATACTTATGTCATGTTTTAAAAATCATCAAGAATTTATTCAAACCCTCTAAGATGTCATCATGAAAAGAAAGAATTCTATTGATTAATTTCAATTTCATGCTGATTTCATATGGTTGAACATATGAACATTTGTTTCCTGATTCTCTTTTATTAGCTTACACAACTAGGAAATCTGATTAAAAAAAATGAAATGACTTAATTCAGTAAATACAGATTCCTTTTCTTAATTTCATTTACAAAAAGAAAATTCTTTCTAATAAAAACAATGATAGTGCAATCAGTTTTGGTTGTAAAATATGAATTATTTTTAATGAAATATAAATTAAATATATTTGAAATAAAATAATTAGAACACTTTTAAAAATGACTTCATAATAAAAATTAGCACATTGCAATACATATGTATTTCTTTTCATTTCACTTGCTTTGTATTGTCCTGAAATCTTTCAATTGAAGTTTCATCCACTTCTAACCAAGATAGAATCTGAAACTTTAAAGATATACTTAAGTTTAAAAAGATATACTTTTATACTCAAATTTGCATTTTAATGATTGGTTGGCAGCCTTCCCCATCATCTTTCCCAACCCAAAACCCAATAAACAGAACCAAATATAAAATTTAATCATGATGTGTGTGTACTGTATTTAATGTAATTTAATGCACTGTAGTGATGTAACTTATATGGTACGGTCACTTTGATCCCATCATACCTGATCAAAATCTCAAATGCATTTTAATTTTAAATGTTTAAAAGCACACTATATAAAAATTGTTTTAACAGAACAAACAATTTAAAAAGCAATATTGTACTGTCAAATGCAGTAAAACTTTCAAATAAATTTATTTGCAAGATAATTAACATCCATTTTTATGTAATTCAATAGAAGAACATTAATGTATTGATTTTTATATAATATTCTTGTAGTCAGGGTGGCCATTTTTTTTAAAAATGGGAAGTGGGAAAGGGGGAATAAAAATTTTTTATTACATAAAATTTTTTAATAGAACAAATTAACAAAAATAAATTTTAATTTTTGTACATAATATATACATATTTTCTCAAAAAATTACATAACTATAAAAATCATATTAATTACAAAACATTATTTAGTCATAAGTATTAGCATCATTGGCTTATCCTCTTGTGGTCTCAAAAAATGCTATTTATAACACAAACTATGGACTCGATATACAAAAATATAAAATTCATGTAAATTAATCAGTTGTTGAATATTTATTTATTTTTTTAAAAGTAATTTGTGATAATTATAAAATTATGGGATTTATGAGTAATAAAGCGGGAAAAGGGACTTCTGTTTTTAAATCGGGACATTCATGTTGAACCCAGGACGGATGACCACCTGCTTGTAGTATAAAATAATTACAATAGTTTGTTTGATTATTATTTATTTATTTTTGTTATAAAACAAATTCACATATTATAATATAAGTATCAATTTAGAACTATTAATTCTTCTGTTTTTGTAAAATTCCATGTTCTCAAAATTGTTTGTACTATGCTGCCCTCTAATGGTGGAATTTATTATTTTGTATTATTTTCAATACAAATTGGCATCTTCCAGTAAAGAAATGAAAAATTTTCTATTATTAAGTAGAAATGCAATATGTTTTAGTTTTATGACAAAATAAGCAATATCAATCTAGAATAAACTGAAAATATGTCAAAGTAAAAAATAATATCAGTGAATAAGATGATGGTTGATTTGTTCAAAATATAGAATAGTTATTTAGAATCTATAACATTCAATATTTGAACAACATTTGTAACATTCAGATGTTCTAGATTTTACATTCTAGAATATAATTTGATTCCTTTATTATTATATGAAACAGCTAATTATTTATAACAATATTTAATGTTCTAATCTCAATGTTACTGGTAAAATTATTATTCAGATGTAGAAACACTTCAGTAAATATGGTAAATGAAATTTGTAATAAACTAATTGACTTCAAATCACATTCAACTTTTATGAATGAATATGATGGTGTAAATATTACCAAGAGTTTAAAATCCAAAAATGATCAGCAGATTACACATTCAGATAGCAATTACTATTTATTATATATATATATTTTGTTTAATACTAGATTCATACATTTTCCTTAGCTCACATTCAACTGATATAACTAATTTGTTTATAATATCAATAAGCATCATGCATCTATATAAATATTTTGTTTGATTTCTGACTATTTGTTTTGAAATTCATTTATTCATTCAAATCAATAGTTCAAAATTCAAATCATATTTAAATATTCCATGTGACAAGTGAATATTTGATTACATGAAATATGCATTTGATATGATACTTATGCTAAATTGCATTTTGTAGCATTTCACCATATTGAAGTATGCATTTATCTTAAATGTATTATTGTAATTGATACAGTATAAATTAGATGTAAATTAAAACTTGACATGTTAAGAACAAAAAATTAGCTAAATTCCTATATTTTGAAGATAAAGCCAATAGAAAGGGTAGTGCATCAATAAAAGAAATGTGATATCTGTTTTAATGCCTAAAAATTCTTATTGAAACACTAAGCTCAGCATATGTTATTCATACCATCATCATTACATTATGTTTGTGTCTATTATTCATATTTAAAATATTTTATTTATTTTTAATTTTATCATAATTTATATTTATCTTTTTTAGGATGTTTGGTTAATTGCAAGTTACCATATTTTTAATCTGATATGAAATAGACCTTGCATGTGGATATTCTATGTTTAAACCTAAAGATGAGTCATTAAGTGACTCAAAAATGTCTGCTTATTTAAAGTTTTATTGCTGTTGTTGTTTTATTGTAATTCTTGATCATTTAGTTCTTTCATCCATTATTTTACTGACAGTTCACAAATCTCATATAATCATAGAAAATATCATTGTAAACAAAGACAAAGATTCAGGCAAAAGTTTTCTAATTTGTCCATAAAATGTATATCATTCATGATTTGTCTTTGTACCAATATCGATACAATAAATTTTATATATCATATGTATTATATATACCTAAATTATGTATAACATTTTTGTTTTTGCTTTTTTAATAATGTGAATAGATATAGAACAACAAATATATCTAATGAATAAGATTAACAAAATTTGATGTATTAAATTCTTGTAAGATAAAAACAAATAAAATTTGTAGTTTCATTTGCAATTTTTAAATTCAATTTCACAATAAAAAAGACTATGGATTTTTCTAAACAAATTTTGTAATTGCAATTTATATAGTTTAAAATATTTACACAGATGTTCATATGTATTTGGGGAAAAAAATTCTGATTTTAAATTAAATCTACTGTTTGGAAAAAATTTTTAGAACTAGAATCAAAACTAATTTTATATCGCTCAATTTTCAAAATGAATTAATCAATGAATAAATTAGAAATGTCTCAACTAAATACAGCATAAAGGTATAAATTATATACAAACATGCACACACACACACACGTGTATAATTTATACCTTTACAAACATTTAAACAATCTGTTCAAACTAATTTTTTTACTCTAGTACGAATGATATTTTATATGAAATCATACCTAATTTTATCCTTCTCTGTTTAAAGGTTTTTGCAAATTGTTCCAGTTCTTCCAAGTCGGTCATTTCTTCAGGACTTGGTTCACAAGACCTGGATTTAACATGATGTGTAACAACAGCCTGAAATCAAAATCAATCTTAAAAAATTTATATTTTCATAAAATCATTAATATATAATCACTCTAGAAATTTTCCCATTATTCTCTTAAATGTAATTCATTAATTGCATATAATAAATTTCATTATTCAAATATAAGTTAAAAACGAATTCATAAATATCAAATAAATCATATTTATTTCTTACAGTTTGACTGTATATTCAAATTAAACATATATATTACACAGATTATATATATATAACTCAAAAATAAAATAATATTTAACAAATATGATTGAAATGGATTGGTTCTTTCCCATAAAGAACCAGTTGGTATATTTGAGGTTTTTTTGGGCTCTTATGTACTGATGCCTCAATTCAGTTCATTATAGATGGATCCGACTTGCAATCAGACAGCCATAATGGACAAAAGATAGCAATAATACCTGCATTTGAACTCTCCATGAAAATTTATGAGTTCAGATTAAATTTGAATCAGGATCCCTCAAGGCATTAGAAGAACACATCTTACTGTGCAACCATCTGGTCAACTATCAAAATATGAACAAAAAATTTGTTCATACTTCAATTTTCAAACTATAAATTTGAATGTAATTACTTTTCATTAGACAGGAGACTTTGATTTTGAAAGTTTATTAATAAAATTTTTCTTCTTTGAAATATATGAAATATAATTATCATAAATTTTGAATTTGCAAAGTATTTTTATAATTTTAAATCATAAATTATTATGCTGAAAATAAATAAATAAATTTTAAAAAGATAACTTTTTAAATGAATTTATAGACAATAAAATTAGAATTTTTACTTTTTCAGATGATCAATTCCAAGATGTAGTTAAATTTTTTAAATATGAACAATATCAATACTCCATGCTTTTATTAAAAGTTTAACTGTAATATTAACATAAAGCTGGAAAATTTTACAACATATATAAGAATACCAACTAGCAAATTATTGATCTAATTTAAAATGTAAAAAAAAATTCTAATCTGAATCAAATAAATGTTTTTTACTTATTTAAATTTACAATAACTAGAGATGACTCAACTGGTAAGCAATGAGGCAATAGCCTCAAGTGGCAAAATGATTAGTCAAAATGTTCAAATGGAGAAAAAAATTAAATTAAAATGAATTGGCATTTACTGTATTCAGCTTAAAAAGTTGTTTACAAACAGTACAAGACTATCAGCATTGCAAGTGTTCTTTATTGGCAATTGTTCTGGATGTAGGAGGTGGCCAAAACGGGTTTTGTCTCAGGCACAAGTTACCCATTGAGCCAGCACTGACAATAATTTTCATAATTACCATTTAATTGCATTGAATGGAACTTTTACAGTCTAATAATACAGTAGAGCGTCGTTTATCCGAAAGAATTCCAGTTGGCCTAAAGTATAATTTTTATTTGTTTTTATATTTTTCAATGTATTTATTTCGTTTGTAAAACATAAAGAAATCATTTTTAACAATACAATAGTCATGATTATTATTTTAAAAGTTTATGTTATGCTTAATATCGACGAAAATTCAATGCGAAGCGACACGCAACGGAGAAAAATTTCAACATGGGATAGGTTAATGTATTTTTTCGTACATAATTGGTTATCTGAAAAATAAGTTATCCGAACAACCCCAGTCCCCAATTGATTCAGATAAATGATGCTGTACTGTATATAGTAATTTATTAAATATAATCTAATCATTTAAGAAAAATATCAATTACAACGATAATTTGATATAAGCAATCAGCTAAAGGTACATTAAAATTAATGCTACAGATAATTATTGTAATTTCTAGCATATAACTTGTGGGTTCTAGAAATTTTTATGGGTTATAAACAGAATACTACTGTATTTGATAAGTTTAATAATATCACATATTTTCAATATTTGGTATTCTAAGTTGTAAGTTAAAAGGCTTGCACCTAAAAATACCTAATGATATTTACATATTTAGACATAAATTATTTAATATTCTATATTTGCAATAGGCTAGAGTAAAAAGTTAGAATTCATGCATATTTTTTATACATAAATCTGTATTCACAAAACTTTGATAGGACCTTACAAAAATAAAAATTATTACATAACTTATAAATAATTGCTCACAGTATAAGATAAATTACTAATGTGTAACTAAATTAATTAGTTGTATTCATGTAATAGTTATTTTTCTGGAGCAAGTAGTTTTTATAATAAAAGTACTCAAAATTTTTAAGATAAAGTTTAGCTAGTTTTCGTATCTATATTAACCGAACATATTTTGTATTATATACATATAATTAGACTTCAATTTTATCCTTTAAGAGCATAATGAATAGCAATTAGAATAAATAATAATAGAATATTGGCATATGGCATATTACAATTTATACAAACTGCTATCATACTCTAATTAATAACATTTTTCAGGAAACTAAATATTTAAAGTTTATCCAAAATGTAAATTTGCTTCTCTTCATAAATTGTCTAATGCATTTTAACATTTATGTAAATTTGTATAAATTATTTATAAATATTTATTGTATTTGTATGATGTGAAACAGTTTTTCTGTGTGACTACTGTATATGGTATTACAGTAGAGTGTCGTTTATCCGAATCAATTGGAGACTGGGGTTGTTCGGATAACTTATTTTTCAGATAAACATTTATGTACAAAAAATATATTAATTTATCCCATGTTGAAATTTCTCTCCATTGCGTGTCGCTTCGTGTTGAATTTTCGTCGATGTTAAGCCTAACGAAGACTATTGTATCGTTAAAAATTATTTTTTTATTTTGTACAAAATAAATATATTGAAAAATATAAAAACAATAAAAAATTATACTTCAGAAGTTAATTTAGTATCAAAAACGTAAAATATTTGAGTAGCCGATGACATAGTCAAAGATTACAACGCCACAGCACTGGCGAAAATTTAAATTTGTCGACTGGAATTCCTTTGGATAACCGACGTTTCGGATAACCGACCTTCGGATAAACGACGCTCTACTGTAATTAAATGAGTACTTGATAATATTTCCTGCTAAAATATAGTATATTACAGGAGATAACTTTAAAATACATTTACTAATTAAAATTATCAGCAATTAAGATATATTGTGTTATTATTATGGGAGTATTCAAACATATTTGATGCCAATACAAAATTCTTATTAACAATAAAATTTAAATTTGAAACTTTAATGTTTGAATCTTAATACTTGTTTATGAAAAGATAATTTTATTGTAAATATAAATTACTAAAACTATTCATATATTCCTTCTAAGTAGATATGTAAATCAAATCATATTACTAAAAATATAAAAATTTTAATTGAATCTATATAATAAATATGGTTCCAACAGTTAGGTTAAGTATTTTTCAGCCAAGACAAATTAGTTTAATAAATTTAGCAATTAAAGATATTACAAGAAAAAGAATTGCCTAATTTTTAACTCTTATTAGAATTTAGATACTAAACTTTGATTTAGACTAGAGATAGGGATTATTCTCTCTAGCCCATTTCTGTTTAATCAATTTCTATGTAACTTCAAAAAATAGCCTGGAGAAATCTGGTAATTTGATTATTCTTTATTTCTTTATACTATAATTTAAAAAGGCTTTATTTTCTATGTATTTCTTAAATTACATCCAATTTCATTTTGTGAGAAATTGCCTAATTTCTCCCTTTAACACACAACAAAGAAATGAAAAATTAACTACATTTTGTATTTATTTTTAAATATTTATCTGAAAAGTTACTTCATATTATTATTATTATTAGCTTAAAATTTAAAAGAAAATAAATAACAATGGATACAAAAAAAACATTGAAAAGTATTATAATAGAATTTTTTTTCTATGTTTTAGCTAAACAAAAAGTTTTGTCGTCTTGTCTGATGCTTTTTTTTATTAAATTTATGTCAAAATGCAGTATGTTCTGATAAATTATTGATAACAGCCAAATAAAAATGCTTGAGATTCTTAATTATATTTCTGAAAACAGAAAAAAAGTGAAAAAAAATATATATTGATGGTTGATTGGTTTTGGGAGTTTTTGGTACAAGGGCCTAAATAGGCCAAAAGAGTACCAAGTCTAGCCAGTTATGTATCTGTATGTCCTTTTGGTTCTTTTAATAAGCCATAAATAATTCTGTTGCGCATCATCTTAAAGTTCTTGCATATAAGTTTATTGCTTGACGATATGTCATAATATGTTAAATTTGTCCATTATTGTCTAGTATAGTTCATAGAGCTTTGTCATCTGAGAATATTTGTTGTGAAAGATAATCTTCTCAGCTGTGTCGTATTGATGACAAGTTAGTAATATGCATTGGGTCATAAATATATAAATTGTTATTTTCTTAATGTTTACAGTGTATTCATAAAAATCCAACAAGAATAAAATCTTGAATAAAAGATTTCAGTTATTTTGCTGATATATCTTTTTCATTTAATATTAATAGTTAATTTGTTTTTATAAAATGGCATAGTAGAAAGAGAACCTATTGATTGTATTTTGAACTGACATTCAATATTTACATATGTACATTTGAATGTATCTGTTGCCATAGAGGGATATTATTTTCATTACAAAAATATTTTTTAATCTATAATCATCTTCAATGTTTTTAAACTATTTTTCATTTGTAGTGATTTGTTCTTTTTATACAAGGTCTGGCTATTAAAGTTTCAATTATTTTTATAAATGAATGTCACTCACTTCCTGGGTATTATATGTAAATTTTCAGTAGATAGATATCATACATTCTGTAAATTAAGAAGCCACACTGGATATTTGAATGCGTTTATTTAAATTCTATGGAAAATGTGCAGATATGCAAAAGATATTATAGTATTTTATTCTTTTCATCCTTCTTCAGTCCATTTTTATAGCATATTCCTCTTTTTTAAAATTTCTGGATACTTTTAATTGTTTCTAGTATAAGTACATAATATTCTCATATACTATATTGGTTTAATGATGAAAAATTAATTACAAGTCAAATATAACTAT